TATAGGCTGGCAAATTCCCATCCTTTTGTGTGTCAGAAATGGCTGGCTGCAAAGAAGCAAACTTTTCTGGATACCTTAAATAAGATTTAAGGATACCCCTGTTATTAACCTACTCCACGTCCAGAAACAGACCCCTGAATTCCCACTTGTAAATGATTAGCAAACTGTTCTGCCCCATTGATCAATGGCAACAAAATGCTTGTTAATTAAACTTTGGTTAAAATTCTTTCTTTCCTCCAGACCCTCAACCTTGACTCACTTTGATTCTGAGCCAGCACACAAACCCCATGTAACACTCTCACTAGGCTTGCTTCATGATAAAAAAAAAGTTTTTCCCCCTTCTCACTTACCCTACTAGTTCTCCTCTAAAAGAAACATTTTATGTATCCTTGAAAAGCATACAGATCTTGGTAAGAGAGTTCTGACAATATTGTCAGCTCCCTCCCATCCTCTCAATAAAATGTCTCCTTATTACAGCTGGATTTTTTTTTTATTTATGATGAACTATTCCTTACCTTTTATTACCACATTTTTCTTTCATATTCTTTTTTTTTTAAAGTTTTATTTATTTATGCATACAGAACTGAGGTACAGGCTAGAGGTGCAGGGGTGGTGAGAGGATTCACCAGAGACAGAATGGGGAGCAGAACAGGCTGATTGACGAAGTACACTGCTGAGGGAAGCAGCAGGCAGGTCAGGAGAGGTCTGCGGTGCCATGTGGGTCACCTCTGGGGTGGGGGATCGAACTCATACTGAAGTGAATTTAGTTTCTTAGTGCTGTGCTTTAACCTGGTGTGCCACCAGAAAGGGCCCCACTTAAATATTCTTATGTACACTTAAACCTTTATTTTGTTAAATCTGATCCCTACTCAGATTAGTTTTTACCAAACTTTACTGAGGCATCATTTATATAAAATAATTACATTCATTCAGAGAACACAATTAGATAAGATTTGATGTAGGTGTAAACCCTATAACACCCCTAAAAATTTTCTTCAGGCACTTGCATACAGTCCCTCTACCCCAGTGGCCCCAGGCAGATACTTCTTGGTCACTTAACAGCATTTGGCTTTTTTCAAAGCCTTATGTATATGGAATCATACAATGTGCCTGGCTTATTTTACCCAGCATAATGTTTATTCAGCCACATTCTTGCATGAATTAGTTTATTATTTTTCTGTTTTTTTCTCTTTTTGTGTTGCTTCATTAGTAATGATACACTGCATCCATGTTGATTTTTATTTTTTACTTTGGGTTATTATTTCATTAGTATGGATATACCACATTTTATCTATCCAGCAATTCATTGATAAATCAAGTTATATCCCCCTGACACATATTTTAGATATTTTCAATAAAGCTACATGGAAGTTCAAGTACAAGTGTTTGTGTGAACAACGGGTTTACTATATTCATTGTTTCCACAAAGACAAATGCTGTGCATTTTTAGTTAATCAAAATCTTTCATCTCACCCAGTGAAATTTTACTTTTCATTGCATAGAACATGTTCTCTTCTGATTAAGGTTAATCCTAGGTATTTTATGTTTCTATTATGAAAGAGAAACTTTAAATTCATCTTAACTACTTATATTTAAATTTAAAAGCCTCCATTTTTTGAGAATGATTTTCACTTTATAGAAAATTATCAATACAGCATTAAAAACTCTGATAGGGCCCTCCCTGGTGACGCAGCGGGTTCGGGTGAAGTGCTATTAAGCTAGCCGCAGCCCCTTCAGCCAAAGTTCCATTCCCTGCCAGGGAGAGGTCCCACATGGTGGTGCAGACCTCTCCTGACCCACCCACTGCTCCCCTCAGCAGTGTACTTCGTGGATCTGCCTGTTCTGCTCCCCACTCTGACTCTGGTGAATCCTCTCATTGCCCATGCACCTCTGGCCTGTACCCCAGTTCTGTATGCATAAATACATCAATCTTTAAAAAATAAAAAAAAAAAATTCTGATATACCCAGTACCCAATTCCCTATTATTTTAATAAATTGTCATGGCATATTTGCCACGATTGATAGGACACTATTAATACATTATTGTTAACTAGAGTCCATATTTTATTTAAATTTCCGTTATTTTTACTAAATGTTCTTTTTCTGCTCGTGTCCTTTAGTGCCACTTAACTGTGAGAGCTTCTCATTTCTTATTTATTTATTCATTTATTTTTAATAATGCTCTTGAGAGTTTTGAGGAATACTGATCATGTATTTTGTAAAATACCACTCAACTGGAATTCATTTGATTTTTTAAAAAAGATTTATTTATTTATGCATAGAGAACTGGGGTAGAGGCCAGACGGGTAGAGGCAGTGAGAGGATTCGCCAGAGACAGAGTGCCGAGATCAGGTAGATTGATGAAGTACACTGCTACGGGGAACAGCGGACAGGTCAGGAGAGGCCTGCCACGCCGTGTGGGTCACCTCCTGGGTGGGGATCATACTCACGCTGCAGTGGCTTTAGCTTCTTAGTACTGTGCTTGTAACCCGCTGTGCTACCCGGGAGGGCCCCAACTTCATTTCTCTTTTTAAAATACTTATCTATCTCTATTTCTCTAATTTTTAATGGGGAACTGTGGTATTTAAAACAGTAATGGCTACTTGTTCCTTCTAATGCATTTTCTTTAGCATTTATTAATATTATTTTGTGAGTATTCTTATTAGATCTAATATCCAATTAATTTTATATAGAGTCCTTGTTATGAATGTTTTTTCATTTCCTTGATAAAATCTGCTTGGTTATAGTTGATTTTGTTTTTTATTACTAAAGATAACTTGCTAATATTTTACATTATGTACACATATTTTTTATTTTGCAAATATGTTGTATTTTTAAATAAAAGTTCTTTTTTGTGTGTGTTCTTGTTATGGGGCAAACTGTATCTTAAAATTTTGTATGTCCAGAAGAGGTCACCTGGTGTGTGAGTCCCCACTTAAGCACTGGTGTGCTTAAGAACTCAGGACAAGAAAAAACAGCCTGCCAATACTATAACCCTATGAAATCTACATCAAACCTCTGACTTACAAAATTGTAAGATAATAAAATGTGTGTTGTTTAAACCACTTCATTTGTGGTAATTTGTTATAGCAGGAACAGAAAATTAATACAGCAAGAAATATTCTGTATTTTATTTACATGGCTGTTTGTCCACTACTGAATCCTCATTCTGCTTGGCTGGCTGCCAAAACATCTTGGAGGCACCATGGCCTTTCATTTGTTACCAATGAGATGCTGCTGTCCCTGCTTTCCTGTTCCCATTAAATCTGGTGGTAACAGCAGGCTCTTCAAAAGGCTGGGAAATCTGGGGGTTAGAGTTTACCTACACTAGGCACATCTGAAGTCATTCCTTCCTTTATCCAATTTGGATGTCTGGAGCATTGTGGGGTGGTATTTCAATTTTGTTTCCTTTGTTCTCTTGCAGGTTACAAGAAATCTTCCCTCTAGAATTTTTTGTTTTTACTCCAAGGCACTTATCTAACTATGGCTGTATCCTTCGTGGGAGTTCTCAATGATGTAGGTTGAACTAAAGAAGAATGGACTGCAGAGAAACAAGGATTAAACAAGGGTCTCTTATATATACCTATCACAATATTCTTGACAAATGATAATAAAGAATTGAACCAAGACAATAGCAGGAGGGACTAAGTGGCTGAATACTTTGACAGAATGAGCCAATGATCTGACATGGGGTGTTGAAGAGACCAAAGAAATGCAGGTTTATCAGGACTCATCTCACCTCACACACCTCATAGTTGGAAATAAAGAGAGACCATAAATGACTTAAGAGCACATTCACATCATGAAACGATAGGTTCAAGTTTAAAGCTGGTCACATGAAAATGTAATTTTGGTAGATAAAGAATTGGTTCTGTAGCCTAAGTAAGCAACCAACTTCTTGACTTTCTGATTCACTTGGAGTTCTAGTCTCTGGGTTTTGCTAACCCCACTTCAGTTGTTTCTGGATTCTACTCGTTTGATTTTAAGTTGAATGAAATTCTAATGGAAAAATAAACTTTAAGAAATAAATTGTTCTTTTTCTGTGAGAGGTAAATCTCTCTTATATTCATTCCTTAATAGTTAGGATGGTAAAACTTAACACAGATGGATTTAAATTAAGCTTAATTATTTGTTTAAATGTTGAACATTGGTAAAATTGCTAGAAAAACAAAGTGTTAACAAATAAAACAAGTATCCATTTTGGGAAGTTTTACTTTCATTTCAATGTCGTCTTCATTTGGTTAAAAAACTACAGGCTATGTTGTTTTTCAAGAGTTGTACACACCTGCATAAAGTAACAATCTTTCTCTTATTTTCTAATGCAGAGAACATGGCTTGTAGTACCTCAGGTTCAGTCCTACTACGGATGTGGAGGTCTGGCACAGTTAAATACCCCATTTAACAAATAATTCGGTTTCTAGTGTAAAACTGTAACCCTGATGTTCAGAATACCTACAAGAGGACACAGATCACTTGTCCTCCTGAGCAAGAAGTTCGCATAATGAATAAGGAACAGCCTTGAATCCAGTTATAAGTCGGTAGCTCTCTAACAGTATTTAATTATCAAGAATAAATGCTGCAGCACATGTTTTGCGAACACTCACTTTGGAAATTCAGCTAATTCTTAAATTTCCATCTTAAGACGGAAATACAGAATTTCACTTTATTTTTACTTTAACAAGAATTGAATTAAGGAAGGTAGATTGTAGTTTGCGATCAGGGGTGTTTCTTTGGAGGAATTTCTTTACCGGACTCCGCAGCATTTATCTCCACACCAGCACCCGGTGGGTTACTCACACTTTACTTCCGGATTCTACAAGAACTGTTGACACTGACCAATGGACTTGTTGCTATTCCGCCGGGGGGGCGCGGCCTCGAGCGTGGGCCTCGGGGACACGCCCCCATACGTAGCGTGCGTGCGTGGCGCCGTGCGGCGCGGGCTGATTTCGCCAGCGTGTGGCGCCCCCCGGCGGCAGCGGAGCATCAATGTGACAGGCGGATCGGAGCGCCAGCCATGGAGCCGCAGAAAGAGGCGCGAACTTCCAAGGTCCCTGTAGCGCATCCGCCTGAGGCCTCGAGGTCTCAGACGCCCAGCGAGGAGGAACGGCGAGAGGGCAGCGCAGCGCTGGCGTCGGCTGGCGCAGGAGCGGAGGCGGACGGAGCCAGTGCCGACGGGTTGTGGGAACTGCCAGTGGAGCCTGCCCGGCGGAGGCCCGAGTGCAGCCGCTGCAGGTGACTCAGGCGGTGGGTGGGGTCTGCGGCGGGGAGCCGCCGTCTTAGGAGGCTGCAGCGCCCCCTGGCGGGAAGGCGGCTTCTGGGGCTCGGGCAAGGAGGTGCTTGGGGTGGCCGCATCAGCTGATGTACCTTGGAGTAAAAAGCTGTTCATCCAGATTCTTGATTGATTAACTTTATTCCCTGTAGGCCATTGAGCGTGTCATGGGGTGAACAGACGAGTTCCGCTGTCAAGAAACTTAGGAGTCTCACCCAGAGACAGGAAGGTGTAATGAGAATAATGTTGGCCACTTTTATGTTTAAGGGGCACAGCTATCTTACTGTAAAAAAGCAAAACAAAACAAAACGAAAACCAGAATGGGTTGGAGGAGAGAGATAAGCCAGGTGGCTGTCACACGCGTTAGGACGATGGAGAATTCACTTCGAAAGGCTTATTGAGAACCTGCTGTGTTCCAGGCACTGTGCTGGGTCCTGTCCTTACTGGGCCTCCTATAGTCTAATGAAGAAACAATTGATGCAGCAAACAGTAATAACCATCACCACAGAGTACTACTGGGCGCTCATGATATGCCCGATTAAGTACTTTTAAAGATTTATTTATTTATGCATACAAGAACTGGAGTATAGGCCAGAGGGTTAGGGTGAGAGGACTCACCAGAGACAAAGTGGGAGGCAGAACAGGGAGACCCAGTACACTGCTGAGGGGAGCAGTGGGCAGGTCTGGACAGGTCTGTCATGCCTTGGGTGTTACCTTGGGGGCGTGAGATTGAACGGATGCTGCAGTGGCTGTGGATAGGGTAACTTCATAGTGCTTTGACCTATTTAAACACATTTTAGGATTTTCTGAGCTGATGTATTTCAGCCTTGCTAAGACTGCTTCCCCTGCTCATTTGAATTACATGCTTTTCGAATGTACTATTCTTTTTTTACCTCTTAGGTCTAGGGTCATTTACCCTGGCTACCTGGCCTCCAGCTATCAGCTGTCTCTTAGTTGCTCATCCAGTTTTAACTATTAACTGGTGCTCCTACTACGTGGAAATCACTCTAATTTGACACCAGCTCCTGCTGTCCTGAAATGTTCTCCTAAAGCTCTCCTTCATGAGATGAAATCTCATGGATTCCTTTTGGTTCACTTTTCCATCACCTCTTGGCATCCCTTTATTTTTCTCTGTTCTTTTCACCTTTGCCCTATAGGCCCTATAGGGTGGGCTTTCTCAGATTTTGATTCTAGATTTTTTTTTTAAAGATATTGATTTATGCAGAACTGGGGTGTAGGCCAGAGGAGCAGGGGCGGTGTGAGGACTCACCAGAGACAGAGTGGGGAGCAGAACAGGCAGACTGACTGAAATACACTGCTGAGGGGAGCAGCAGGCCAAACAGGAGAGGTCTGTTGCCTCATATGAGTCACCTCCAGGGCTGGGGATCGAACTCCCACTGAAGCGGCTGCAGTTAGCTTGCAGTGCTGCTTCCTAACCGGTTTGCACCACCCTGGAGGCCCTTGACTCTAGTTACTTTTTTACTTCTAACTCACACCTGTCCTACAAGCACAACTCTTAGTTTTCACAGGTAAGTTTTCAACTCTGCCCCAGTGTCTCTAGCCCAGACCTGAATTGTGTGCATTGTACCTGGACATTCCTTTAGCCAGTGCTTGCTGAATGCTTTGTTAATCACTGCTGATACAGTGTCTGCATGGAGTATACCATCTGTTATTGGGTACAGACAATAAACCAGTTAACAAACCACCAAATATGTAATTAAATACTGTAATTACAGATTGAAAATACAGACTTGAAGAAAAAGCAAACAGCAGTGAAGGAATGACATGCTCTGACAAAAATAGAAGACGTGTTTTCAGAATGTGCTGATTAAAATAGGGAGTTGTTTCCCCATTACCCATCTCAGGTACTTTAAAATAAGCTAAACCATTCTAGAGTGAATTAAGTCTAATGAGTCTCATTAAAAATAATCGTAACATCAGAAATTTTACAAAGTTGCTGCAAAAACAGTAGAAATATTTTACAAAGAAGAGAAATGAAATAAATCATATTATGCACATGGCTAATTGTTCCCCAAGTCAGAATTTTCTTCTCCTTTGATACAAGAATATGTGTGTTTTCTGTGTCTGTCATTAAATAATGTGTTTGAACCAAGAGAAAAATAAGACCTCATGTGTAATTTCCAAATTATAGCAGACCTCATTAAGTGAGATATCTCAGGAAGACCTCATATATATGATGTCACCAAGAGGTTAATTCTATTTTCCTTTCTTTATGTGTCTTTTCTTTATTGCTTTCCCAGGCACTGAGCTGCAGAAACTAAAACTCATTAGTATATATGCTGATCCTTAGAATTAGGCTATTGTACTAACCACTAGGAGAATTACCTTGGTGAAATGGGATTTTGAGTGTAAAATATCCAGCGAGAATATGAGGTTCAGGGCTTGACTATTGTTATAAAATCCGTATAAGTAAGTGAGTGAAGTGGCAACTAATAAAAGCAAAATCCCCTACATGGGTGTCCGTCTCCATCAAGATACTGCAGTTAGTCCTTAGGCTGAATGCCCTTCTCTCAAGGTGAGTCTCTGCATTGTTAAAAAGATTATAGACAATTAGCATTAATAGCAGGATGGTGTTATAAAAGATCTCTGAGGATAACTGTTGAATGTGTTTAGTTGTACTTGAAGATTCCTCTCTGATATTTTTACCTTTATCCTGGCTGCATTATAAGACCTTGGAAAAGGAATTTTGAATGTAAGATTTTTTTTTTTAAAAGATGTATTTATTTGTGCATGGGGTACAGGCCAGAGGCTCAGGGCTGCGAGAGGCTTCACCAGAGACAGAGAGGGGAGCAGAACAGGCAGATCGACGAAGTACACTGCTGAGGGGAGCAGCGGGTGGGTCAGGAGAGGTCTGCCACGCCATGTGGTCACCTTCGGGGCAGGCGGGGATTGAACAGGCTTTAGCTTCTTAGTGCAGTGCTTTAACCCGCTGCGCCACCACCTCCCTCTCAATTTTATAGTTAGCTTTCTAGCATACTTTATTCATTGGCTTTATCTGATCCTTTGTTTTGTTTCTCTATATTCCACGGGTAAGTGAATCACCTCGTCTTTGAGAAGTTTGAAGTTTTGAGGTGCTTAAGAAACAGAACAAAAGAATCATTTCATTTGTCAAAGTAATAATGTTAGTAAAAAAGCTGTTCAGGTTAAGCCTCATTTTGGTGTGCACCTGTGAATATCTATCACATATATTATTTAGTGGTCTTTGAAATTAAGATATTAGGCAGGGTGCCCCAGGACTCCCAAACCTGTCTGCACTAAATGGGTTATGCCATCTACTGCATCAAGACAAAACATACTCAAATTCCTAAGACCTCCAATAGAAGGGAACATTGTGTGATAGAAAGAATATAGTTTCCCAATCAAGTACCTCAAGTTACCCATCTCTTCGTGGGTAAATGCCCAGTCCAAACAGGTTCAGCCCAAAGCAGCACCACTGAGGCCCAAAAGCCTGCTGCAGTCTAAGGTACCTTCTGGTGGGGACCCACAGAAAAGGGAACAATGGCCCAGACAAGTCTGGAAGGAAAATAGCAAAGTCAAAGCCCAAGTCAAGATAACAGCCTCTGCTGTCATTATCCCCATGGGTTTCTCACCCACATCCCTGTCTCTTTCAGGCATATCCTTCCATGTCACCCCAGTCTGTGGTACAAGTCCAAGGTTAAGAAGCAAGCACGGCTTCTTCATGTCTCTCTGCCCATCTGTTTCCTCCAGGTCCTCCTTTTCATCTTGTTCCTCCCCTCTCCTACTCTTCTCTAGCTGCTGCTTGCTCTCAGCTCCACTCTGGGAACCTAGAACCTCACCTTTCTGTGGGATTACAAGTTGAAATAGGCGTAAGAATCAGAAGATAAAGAGATGCAAGTCTATTAAATTATTAGTGTTTCAGAAACATTACTAGTTTTTAATTTCATTAGGATAAGATTTAGTGTATCTGTTAGTGTTCTTCTTGTTGGGCTATTAGCTTCTTTTTGGATGTGTACAGAGTATTACAGGAACACATAGGAAGGTGCACCAGTGAGATTGGGCATGTCACAGGGAGAGGTTAGCAGGGGCTTAGAGAGGATTGCATTTGAAGTTCAGGCTAAGACTGAAGCCTGTAATAACGATGGTAAATCTAGTTGTTATATTTAGGATTAATCAAGGAAAAGACAAGATTAGTCAGGGCTTTGAAGGACGGAAAATTGTGTTTCTTGCAGAGGGAACATCTCGTACAGGAGTACCATGTATAGAGTAGAGTGTTTTTTTTTTTTTTTTTAAGATTTATTTGTTTATACAAGAACTGGGATACAGGCCAGAAATGCTGGGGGTGAGAGGATTCACATGAGACAGTGTGGGGAGCAGAAAGGCAGATTGATGAAGTACACCGCTGAGGGGAGCAGAGGCGAGACAGGAGAGGTCTGCTGTGTCATGTAGGTCACCTTCCTGGCCAGGGATCGAGCCTGTGCTGCAGCGGCTGGGGCTAGCTTCATGGTGCTGCAATTCAACCCATTGTGCCACCAGGGAGGGTACCCCGGACTATGTATTTTTTGTGCCACATTTTGTCGATTTGTTGTAACAATTCTCAGGGGTTGATGTTTTACATCATTTAAATAATGAGGAAGTAGAGGCAACATGCAGGGAGTAACGTTGGTCTCCGTTGCAGTCCCCATGGTCCCCAGCCTCACGTGAGCCCTGTTGCTGAGCGTTTTGCTGGTTTTCTTTGCAGAGTAGCTGTGTTCATCAGCCAAAGTTCAAGAGTAACTCTGGTTTTCATATTTTTTAAAGTTAGTCACAAGGTGCCTGAACTTTAGTAGTTTCTAGTGCCTTTCAAAAAAAATATTGACATTTGATGACATATTATGAAAGTTTAAGATATACAGTGTTTCGATTTGTGGTATTTATATATTGGAGTTTGATTACCACTGGTCACTTTAGCTAACACATCTATCATGTCACGTAATGATTATTT